CCCAAATTTCCTGAGCCTCCAAACATATGGTTAAAATTTGTTTTTTTATTGTGGTATTTTATCGATGATTGAAACCAGTATTTGGCAAGCTTAGGCAATGTTTTTTTTTCTTCATACATATCAGTTTTACAGGCTTAGAACATCTCATTCTGAGGATGTCAATGCTTTCATACTAACTTATCATTTCACTTATTTTAGAAGAGCTTTCGTCATAAAAAGGTTAGCTGTTTGGCTTTGATATCTCCATCATATCCATTCACCCCCCCTTCTATAAGTTCTTCATTGTGCTATGTTACAATTGGTCTACTATTTTACAACCACTAGGTTGAGTGTCAAAGTCAACTTGTGGTTGATTACTTGGTTTTTTTTTAAATAAATATTTAAGATTCAGTGGGATTAAACATTTGATTGGTAGTTGGTTGTCTTTCGAAAAAAATTATCTCTTTACAAACATGAACAGTTGCTTGTCTTTGTCATATTGTTTGACTTTGTTTTGAGTTTTGTTTATTCCTGTTATTTTTGGTCAGATCTGTCTTTTTCCTGTTTTTCTTTAGTTCAGTTCTTAGTGTTTCTGGTTATGTTCATTTCTTAGAATTATTCTTTGTTAGTTTAGTGCTACTAGGTTGCTTTAGTCTGATTATTCTTTAGTTTTAGAATTATTTCCTGATCCCCTGTGTACTTTGTCTCGTCCCCTGTGTCCCCTTTGTCTCCTCTCTCTATCATCACGCTGCCTCCTGCTCCCTCCACTTGCACCTGCAATCATTTAGCTTATCAGTCTGGCTCTTTTGTTCAGCGTCCAACCTCTTCAGTATTTAAGCTTCTCATTTTCACTCACTACTCACCAGATCCTTTTGTTTACTTCTATCAACTTCCTTGTTCTCCCTTGTGACTCCTTGGTTTCTTAAGTGCATATTTTGTAGTTTTTGTTGTATTTTCATTAAAATTCTTCTGCATTTACTCAACTCCTCTGCCATCTGCATTTGTTCAGTATATTCACAAATAATCACAGGTAAGCAGCCTTTTTTAACAAACGGGTTGCTTTGGAACATAGGTGATTGCTATGTACTTTATTTATGTGTTTAATTTTAAAATGTATGCTATGTTATTTTCTTAAATTTTGGTTTTTGATTTTATTTTTTAAACCAAGAAAAACTTTCCAAACTCTTTACATTAATGAGCCATTTTTCAGGTCCACCTCCTAAAAGCTTTCCTTTGGAAGGTATTATATATTTGTGGCTGTCAGCATTTCTCTTATTACTCTTACAGCTGTGTGGGCTTTTTGAGTTCCCTTCAGTATTTTGTCAAGCTACTGGTTTTAAATTGACTGTGGGACTGAGTCAACCTGTTGGTTCTGTGATGGACTGGCAGCCTGTTCAGAGTTTAGCCAACTTTCTTTCCAATGACTAATGGGATAAAATCTAAATCCTCTCCACAAGCATTAGATCAGATGGACACAAAATAAAATGGAGAGAAAATGTTTGAAGCCCTCATTAATAAAACATAATTAAATGTTAGTCCATATTCAATGATAAAAGTCCAATTCATAAGTAGTCTTATTAGCTACAGAGTCAAAATGTAGTTAACTCTGCTGACTTGTGTTTATAGCAGAACCAGATTCCTTTCACCTTGATGCACATATTCAGATTTACAGCTAAAAGCAGCTCATCAACAAAACCTAATCCACATTTATTTCTGCTGCCGCGCAGCAAAGAATCTCATCTGGTTTTCTTTTATAGAGAGTAAAATGCTCAAGAATCATTCTACAGGTCCTTTGGCTCCCACACTCTGAGCACTTCTATGAATGATTGTAGGGAGTAAGGAGACGTTGGCATGCTGCCTATCAGTGCAGCTGTGGAATACAGCTGAGACGAGGAGAATGACGAGAAGATTAAATGGGGTCAAATGTTACATTTTGGGCTTTAAACCCTTGCAAATTACTAATTACCTGCTTCAGGGTGTAACTTTCACATCAACTTTGGGTTACAAGTTCCAGATCACCAAGTTCAAGTTCAGATATTTTCTTGTGCACATTGAAAAGAATTGTTCAACAAATGATCATGCGGAACAAAGGTAACAAATTAATTCATGTGCAAGGCTATCGTGTTTTCCAGGCACATAGTGATATTTTATAGCACAATCAATAAACTATGTTACCTTCAGTTATAAAAAAAATGCTGTCTGTATAAAACATGACTTAAAAAATTTCACTTTGCAATTTGACTTCAGATTGGATTCTGTGTCTTTCAGAAGCTCCTACTCTTTTCGTGACTTCAGCATGTCATCATAACCTCATATTTCCATTATGCTGTTTACAACCATTCTTAAAAGAAGGGTTGGATGAGAAGTAGTGCAAATTGAATGCAGAGAAAGCTATAATATTTTATTTGTTCCTGGGTAGTTTTACCTTTACACTTTGCCAGAACCAGCTGTTTGAGGTCATTCATGATATATATGTGGTCCAAAATGAAAACAACTTGAACCCATCAACTGTTTTGAGGCAGCTTTTAATTTGAGTCTTGCATTGTGTTGTTGTTGGCAACAGTCTGGCAGCATGCCATCTCTTGACTTGAAAATATCTGGCCACTCAAATCTGGCAAAAGTTCTTCAACACATTGTGAGGACACGTCATGTCCACAGCCGTCTTGATAGCCACAGATTTTCTGCAGAATTCAATTCTGGAGTCTGGCTGAGTCAATGCAAATCTTTTGAAGAGGCACATTTTCCTCTTATGAAATTATTCTTTTATTGAAGTGGATATCTGCTTGGACTCACTGCGATACTGGAACATAAAAACCAATCCTCATCTTGAGCTTTCCATGTGAAGTTTTAGTTCATACAAAGTTTTGGTAAGTCTTGTATTATTTCTTTTTGTTTTGTCATTTTGTCCATGCTGGCCAAAGCTCTACTTTTTGTGTCTCTGGTATTCTATATTTATGACTTATTTTTAATAGAATGTACTGTATTTGTATAATAAAACCAGTTGGAGCTTTTGAAATCTCAGCAAATGAGCAAACACCAGAAGGATTTTATGAAGTCTTATTTCTGCATAATCAGATACACTATAATAGATGCCAAGGGATGGAAATTAAATCCTATGAAATGACATTTTACTTTTTGTTTTGTTCTCAAGCAGATTTTCTTGGTTTTCACCTTGCATGTAGAAACTTATTTATTTATTTATTTATTTTTTAATCAGTATGTGCACAACTAGACAAATGTCAGTCTGCTTTGCAGGCACCGTGCTGTCGTTTTTTGTCGCGAGATCTTGTAAACCTGGCCAGAAAGCGAAGTGGTAAAAAAAAAAATTTGCAGTTTTCTTACTCTACTGCAGATACTCCTTTACACCAAAGGCAGGAGATTGTGCCAGTCGGAGTCAAATCTGGAAAGTTTATGGTGAGAGTTGCGGAGTTTGAAATGTTCACTCGCTCACTCAGCCAGTGAGTGAGTGGATCTGAGTTTATATTCTGAGTTGTGCAGTTCTTTATAATTATGTGCCGCCCATTTCGAATCGCATGTTACCTCATCTGAGGAGACTGACATGTCATATATTTTGTCTAAATGTATGTTGTTACAAGAGACGCTACTTTATTTCTTCTGCAAAAAAAAAAAAAAAAAAAAAAATTGCTATCTGTGAAATGTTTCTGAAGTTGTTTTCCTTTTTGCATTTCAGTGTTTTCCTTTTTGCATTTCAGTGTTGCACATATTTTTTTTATTTCATTTATAGCACTGTCTATTGTGGACAAAGCAGCTGAATGAGTAACTTAGTCACAATCTACTTGTAGTTTGTTTAGTTGCCACTACATGGAGCTACTGCTGCAAGGTAGATTTTTGCTAACATAGAAAGTGAACTCACACTGCTTCTTGTGTTTCGTTCTTTTTGTGTGTATGTGTCCCTTCTGGCTTCTCAAGTCCCGTTGCAGCAGGTAGCCATTCAAACTGACCCCAATTCAAGTAGAGGTTTGTTCCTGTTAAATGTTAATTTCCTCTTTTGTAACAACAAATTGTGGCAAAGTTCCTAACATCATTTATTCGGCTGGGCTTCCACAAATGGATGACTTTTTTTTACATATCTATATGTAAATTGGCATTAAATGAATTTGACTGCACTGTATTGTAACCAAGTTTTCAAGACAATTTGAATCTCTCTGGATGACTGACCTGATCAGATTTATTTATTTCTGCAAATAAATTGTCTATGTTTATCTAGTAAAATGTCTTAAGATGATGTTTATTGTGAATTGTACTGAAATATTTATTGTAAATACACTGTACTGAAATAAATAAATTAACAGTTAAAACATATTCAGTTGCAATTAAGAATGGAAACTGAAAGTCATTGATTTTAGCTCAGTGCAGTATTAATTAATCACTTAATTAATAATAGAAAGCAAATTAAGACATGTGCACATGATCTCAGGAAGTTAAAAAAAAAACAACTTGGGAACATTTTTGTGTTGGTGATTGATCATGCATATCACCAAGTAATGGCGGCAAATGCATTTTTTGTCATAGAATTTAGGGACATCTACACAAAAAAGTGTCAATTACATTTCATCCCAACTGATTTGATGGGATACAGGAACTTTTTTTTTTGTATTGTTTTTTTTTATCAATTACTGCCGTTTGTTATGAATGGGTTGCGGGAGCAATCGATACAAACGCAGGTGCCAAACGTGATTGGCTGCAAGCCGGAGTCTAGTTATCGCCACCCCCTGCGCTCACTCCTCTGAACACACACTGTTACGTTCAGTGCTGCCTCGGCAGACTCCACTGAGAAAAGGGCTCAGTGCGACTCTCATTGAAGTCTGCTATTGCCAATAAGAATCACGGCCTATTTATGACGATCACATGATTCCACTGGGAGTCCAAGTGGTCCGCAGGGGGTCAGTGGGCAGCGAGAGACACAGAGCGCGGCAGAGGGAGTGAGAGAGACTGGGGGGTGGTGGGGGCAATGATTGTTCTTGGGAGAAAAGGAAACATGACTTAACAGAGGAGAGGACCTGAGTTCATGCACTTTCTTCTTCCATCTGGACTCTGCGCTTGGAGAGGAATGGATACCAAAGTGGTTCATCTAAGAAAGACTACATCTTAATCTGGTTGATGCTTTGTTCTTCAAACTGTTGCAGCCGCTGTTTGACTTCTCAACTCAAGCTGCAGGAAGATCTCCCGAATCTCTTTTTTGTTTGTTTGTTTTTTCTTAACATATTGTATACCAAAAAAAGGTGATCCACAGAGATGGCTTTGCTGCGTCTTTTTCATGGAGTAGATATAAACCTCTCGCGGTGGTGGATTTTGTGCTTCATCTGCTTTGTCCCATCGAGCAAAGTAAGTCTGCTGCAGTGGATTAATTATCTCCTTCGCGCACGTACGCACATGTCTGCAGATCTTATTAAGTCATCACATTATAATGTAATTGTTGAACGCATACCAGTAGGTTTCCGGGAGACACGCACATTCTCCCATTTTCTCCGCAGAGCGTGCTTCTGGATAATGGTGCAGACCGAGCCGGATATCAAGGTGCCTCGGCGGTTCTTCGGTCGCTTAATTTGCCTCTCCACACAGGTAGGTCAGGTGTTTAAAGCTAATAAATATCTCACTGATTACGGCCCAAATGTTAGTTTTCGCGTTGTGAAAACTAGCGCGTGCCAGCGCACTTTTTATCATAGCGGGCTTTTCTGCAGTGTCCCGAGTCCAAGAAAGTCTTTCCGCCGCCGCTTGCATCTCTGAGCCACCGCTCACCTGTGCGACGCGTTTCCTCTCTTCACCGCAGGGTGGCGACACGCAACCTGGCAGAAAATAGCCGGCAGCGTCTGCTGCTGCTGCAGCTGATCTCTGTTGTCCGCATTGTTGTTTTAGTGATTAAAATGTTTTACCTTCTGTGTGAATGACATTTATAAAACGAGACATGTTAACTAAAACTATAGAATAGACTACGCAAAGATTTCTAAACTGTGCCAAAGAGCTGAGAAAATGCACTAATTACCTATTAGCTAATGATTAGTGTAAGCCAGCATGTTCATCTGCTTTTTGAGTTTGGATTTCAAGGCTGTCTGTTTTTTTTTTTTTTTTTTTTTTTTTTTTTTTAAGAAATACTTTGTTTAATATGTTGTCACTTCTATGTGTGATACTCCACTTCCTCATTATGGTTTCATTGGTACGTCAGATGTTCATCTGCATCAAACACTCACAATATGTTTGACACTGTCAAAATGGATTATAATGGAGGACATAACTGCTCACACCGGTGTTGACTTTAAGTCAGACTGCTCACTGTTTTATCAGTGCTAATGACCGTCAGGACTCACTAAACCAACACACTAACAAACTGCAAGATCTTGTCTCAGTTCAGCAGACGTCAGCAGACAAACTTTGTGTGTCTGTGTGCACTTTTTCCCGCAGACTCTTTGTTTGAGTATTGTCAGACACGGGTCAGTGCAGCTGTTTTTTTTTTTTTTTTTTTTTAACTTGGAGTGGGACTGCTAACTAGAAGAGGGGGTGTCTGCATATAACTGTGTGTGTGCCTGTGCTAGTGATGCGGGACAAAGCTGTGTCTGAGAGGATCCATTTTCACTTGCCTACATTTCTACATGCCCAATCGCTGCATTTCTACTCAATCAAACAGATTAATCGCAATGGCTAATGCTTAAAGACCCGATGGTTGCCTTCTGCTGTAGCTAGAAACTGGTGCAGTCTACGCAAGGTGCTTAAAATATATGCATGTGTTAATGAGAGTGCATGTACATCATTCTGTGGGCAAGACCTTTATGACTGCCTCCAGATGGACCGCACAACAAAGTTCAAATCCCCAGTCAGTAGCACTGCTTGTGATGACACACTGTCTACCAGGCTGCAGAGCCAAACCATGTGTCTGGACTATATTTACTTACTATTAAAGCAGCTCACCCTGCACATGACCAAAAAATTATTATAACTCAGAATACATTCAAGATTGCTATTATTAAATTGCCTTTTAGTTTATGACAAATATGACACGTGAAATGCAAATAATGAGCTAGTGTCTACATTTGAGCTTGACTACATTTGATCTGTCAGGTTTAGCTCAAATGTGAAGCTTTGATCAAAAACCTTTACATTTTAGCTGCTGTTCGTTATTATTGTCCTACTGGAAGGTAAACTTCCACTCTGTTCTCTAGCAGCTTTTCTTCCAGTATTGGATCCATCTATTTAACCATTTACTCTGACCTGCTAGCCTGTCCTTGCTGAAGAAAACTCTTGACATGGTGGAGGTATGTCAGGGTGATTTGCCAAGTTAGCTCTCTGTCCCGTTTTAATTTTGGTCTAGTTTAACGGTACCGTCTGCCCTATGTTTGCATTGCCCCCAATGGTTGGTGACAAACTGATTTCTGTGGCATTCTTTCAATGTTATTTTTATTTCCTCTGGTTATTTTACAAGATCTGTTTTACCTCTACAACTCTTCAAGAGTTGGATATTGAAGTATTCTTTCCTTTGTTAAATATTAAATGATTGGTGAACACTGTACTATACATCCAGAACTTGGAACTTTGTTTTATGACATAACCCTGTTTTAAGTTTCACTGCAACAACGTGACCTTCATGACGAGGTCACAGTGAAGACTTAAAACTTCACTGTTCAAATTAGCAGTGCGCTTTAGAAATGGATTTTTATTTCAAAACCAAAAATCTTTACTCTCCCAAATCAAAATCATGCTTCATTTTCTATTGGTCAACCACATAAAACCCTTCTTAACTACTCTGAACTTTTCAGATGCAATATTACAACTACAGAGTAGGAATTTTTTACCAGGCAATTTAAATTGTGTCTTTCTGCTACAATAAATAATAGAACTATTGATATGTTTGGTGGTTGAGGGTTTGTCCTTTTAAGGGAATTACTAAGCAATCATCACATTTTGGAGAACTGTCCATTAGTTTCTCTTACCAAAGGACCATTGTGTGTATAAAGGTTTGAGGGGACAGGCTTGTGACCCCCTACCATGCTTCTGTATGGCCTGCAGTTATGCTGCCTGAAATGCAGTAAAACACCAAGTCTAACATAACTCACATTTTGCAGAGGGGTCTGTTTTGGAAAAGCCTGCTTTACTTTTAATTATGTCTTGACCCTGCCAGCAGAAATATACAAGTAAGGTCAAGGAGAACATAAAAAAAGAAATGGGGGAAAAAAAAAATATGTTATACGTTTTTATTCTAGACGAAATACAGCGAGGAGAACAATGTTGACTTTGTTGTAATTAGCAAAGACTTAGGAGAAAAGTGTTCCATTCTTGCCAAGGAATTAAAAAAGTGCTTGTTTTTTCTTGCATTCCAGTCATTTCTGAGTCATTTCCCACAAAGAAAAACCGAATATCAAAGCTACTAATATTGAACTTAATTCGCCATAATTTATATTCAATGATTTTTATTCAAGATTATCTAAAAGGAAATATTCTAGGAGCGAGGTAGGCAGTTGGGTCCTCTGAGTTTAAACAGACCAAGTGTGATAACAAAGATGTAGATGTGAAAAAGGATATTGTGTGAAATTATATACCAATCATCCTGTTAGAGCCTACTATATAAGACTGGAAGTATTGTTAAGACCTCGGGTTGTTTCAGTTGATTTGGTAATGCCATGGACCCAATTTCATGGTGTCAGCCTATTTACAATGCATCTGGAAATTATTCAGAGTGCTTCACTTTTTCCACATTCTGTTGTGTTACAGCCTCATTTCAAATTGTATTAATCTCTCTCATAAAACATCTGCACACAAATGCCCTATCATTCCAGAAAAAAACTACTTCTCTCATTTCTGTTTTTTAATGAGTTAGAGAAGCAGTGGTATGTTTTCAAATCAAAGCGTCGATACTCGCATGCTGACCATCCAGGGTGAAACATGGGGGTGGTAGGTTCATGGATTGGATCCGTTTTGCTGCTGCAGCTGAATGATTTGTCAACATTGATGCTGCAGGGATTTTTAAGTTCTTGTGTCTATGCATTTCTAAAATAAATGTAGAACAAAATTCATTCAAACACACAATGTTGTGAAAATGTTACAATATTTTAAACTTTAATCAGATGGCATTGCTTTGCAATAACACCAACATAGCAATTTAGGGTATTGCATCGTATAAATTAGTAGGAGATTACATTTTTTTGTTTTTAAGTGGACTGGATAATTATTGTGTTTTTTATGCTGAGAGTCCCTTTACAACATCATAAATCTCTTGAATCCATTATGGTAACATAAAAGATATTTGGGCTTATTTTTGCCTCACTGAGTAAAAGACCAAGTTTTATATCACCACATATTTCTTAAATTGTGTTTTGCTTGTTTGGGTTCAAGGTTTTCTTAAAAGTCTGAAGTTTTGATAATGACACAAAAACATTTTCCACTCCTTCTCTATATCCAAAGAGTAAACACTGCCGTTAAATGACTGGGATCCTTGTGTAGTTACTTAGATTGCATTCTAATTCAAAGGCTTCAGTGTTTATACAGTTTCTCATAAATAATTGTCTTTCCCCGTTTGTTCCTGTCCTCTTTTATTTTCCATCCAGAATATGAAATAGTAACCCCATATGAGGTTGACCACCAAGGTGTGTACATTTCTCATGAAATCGCCCATCACAAGCGTAGAAGACGACATCGATCCCTGACTTCAGACGCAGAACATCCAGACACTGACAGCAGCCGCGAAGCAGTCCACTTCCAGCTCAGGGGCTTGGGCCAGGATTTCCACTTGGAGCTGAGGGAGGCTTCGGAGAGCCTCATGGCACCTGGCTTCACTGTTCAGGTCCTGGGAAGAAACGGCACAAAGAGCCTAAGGGTTTACCACCAAGACGACCACTGCTTTTACCAGGGGTCGCTGAGGTCAAGGGTCAACTCCTCAGTGGCACTGTCCACATGCCTGGGAATGGTGAGTCTGAACACGCTCAGAATCAGGTTGCAGCCTATGCTGGATAGAAAGAAGGGAGAATATCCATTACCTAGTAGAGCTATACAAGAACTTTTATTTCACTTTTTAATCTTACAACCGCACACTGTGACGTATTTAGTTGGGATGTCCGTTAGCTAAACTGAGAAACTGTCAAGGAACAGTTGTGTTGTAGGCTGATGAAATGACACACAGGTGGACTCTATTTACTAATTAGGTGTGTTCTCAAAGCAATTGACGACACCTGAGTTTGTTTAACAGTAACTGAATTGAATACATGTGCCACCAATTCTTTCAGTCTTTTTTTTAAGTAGTTTAAAAATCTATCCATCCACTTCACAATTATGTGATATTTTGTGTTTCCATATCAAATAAAATACCATAAATACCTCAATGTTTGAAGTTGCAATATGGCAGAGTAGGTCACCAAACAGCTGCAACAAACTTATTTTTTGTTTTTGTTTTAATCTGCCAAGAGGTCAATTGAACTGAGAGTGCATATCTGGGCTATCTTGATTTAGTTTAGGTTTTGGCAGCATTTACATTTGTCATGAAGTGCTTTAATCTCACTCCCCGGACTACAAAATATCAGGAGTTTGGGAACCAAATAAAATGAACTGGTCTCGATAGTGTGATATATATAAACACACTGAAGCTCACAGTTCAAGAAACAAAGAAGTTAGCAACCCATTTTGGGAGACTAAGATTTAATCAAAAGTAAATCAGACAACATGGTCATATTACAGTTATATTTGTAAATTGAGAGGAGAAAAGTGGCATTTAACCCAGAAATACTTAATAGACACTAGGCACTGGACTACTTGATGCTCAGTGAAAGCCTTGAAAACTTTATTTGGTATTCCCCAAATATCATTTTACATGAGGTAATATCAGTGGAAATCTGGTGAAACACCTTATAGAAGTGACACTTGTCTATGCAAACCTTTCAGAATAAAAACAATGTACATTCAGAAACCATAAACTGTGTTTAATCCCATCTAAGTGTGTAAAGCACTACCTGCATGTTTTGTTTCAAACAGGCACCCCTCCCAAGTTTAATAAAAGTCTTTTTGTTCAGAAACTGCATCGCTAAAAAGAATTTCATACTTTTTTTGTTAGTTTGTGTAGAAGCATGGCCTGATTTTAACAGTGACCACCGTGGTCTTTGTCTGACACAAATATGATATAATACAAAACAATAATAATCCTGAAAGAATGACATTCGATGAGAAAATGCAAAAGAAAAGAAAAAAAGCCCATGTCCCCTGGAGGGCTCCGTTGATATAATTCTCTTAGTCTTAAAATCCTATACATATTATTTTCTCAGTTTTCACAAGGAACACTTTTTTAAATAATAATATGACTCACTTTAACCACAGTCTTGTGCTTTTCTGTCTTTAACAGTATTAAAAGCCTGAGTCACACTGGTAATGTTTAGATTTGTAGAAACCACTGCTCTGTCTGAGAATTGCCCTTTGAAACTCGAGGTTTCAAATGGCACATCTCAAGGGACACTTGCTCATCTGTACGTGTGTATCCGCTCAGAGGAGTTCCAAATAAAAGATTTAGTCATGCAGTGCCAATAAATGTGGTTCTCACGGTTGATGTTGGGCAGGACAAAGTGGGGCAATGCATCCAAAGGGATTTGGGATTTTTCTGGTGCAAGTTGGGGAACTACAATTATTTGTCTGCAATCAAAGATATCGAAGCTTCAGGGGAAAGATAAAGATAAGGTTCCCAAAATGTCCACATGTTCCATACCAGGCTCCGAACCATGTCGGTTTTGTTTTTATAAGCACATATTTTCACAAAATTATCCCACCGAAAGCAACTGATTGTAAGATAAATATTAACATTAATCTAGCTATTAAATTAAACTCCCCAGAAGAAGTACCTATAACACAAGTTATATTTACTTGTATTTCTAGTGGGTTTTTTATGTCGAGAAGATTTAGCTAGTTTTAGGTTAGAAGAAAATAATCATAGCATGTCTTAATGCAGGTGTGTCAAACTCATTTTCGTTTTGGGCCAAATCAAGATCATGAAAGCTCTTAAAGGGCCGTGTTGATAAAACCTGTTCACAAACTATTAATATGTCATTGAATTCTTAAAATTACATAATATTCTTGAAGATCTTTTCAGTCCCTTCAGGAACTAATAATAAATGCGACTGTTTATTTACTCGCTGTATAAATCATGGACAATCATGCATCAACTAAATTTTCAAGAAACTGGAGGGATTGATTGATATAAATTGGCAGTAAACAGATAAAAACTGCTTTGATAATATAATATTTAATCACACTTAGTGTTTAGTCTAGTCTGTGGAGGGCCACATAAAAAGCTACGGCGGGCCGGATTTGGCCCCCGGGCCTTGAGTTTGACACATGTGTCTTAATGCATAGGTGCATGTCTTATACATCACCATCAATAATTAAGCAGTGAATACATTTTTAATTCATTGATAATAATTTTTTAGAGAGATGCTATGCCACAGCCTACATAAACAAACAAAGAGCAAAGAGAGGACTGCTCACTTGTCAATAGTCCATAAGAGAGTCATCAATTTTTTTTTTTTTTTTTTTTTTTTTTTTTTTTTTTTTACTTCTAATGCTGTGGCTGATTGATGTACAAGTGTATCTCAACAAATGACATGATCACAAGAGTTATTTTAGTCTAGCTTGACAATAACATAAAAACATGACATCGATTCATTACACACAAAGTAATGCTTTTTCAGGCATTTATTTCTGTTCATTTGGAGGAATTAGTCTTAAATTTTTGTTCATAAAGAAGCTAGTTATTAGGGCTATATTGAAGCATATTAGCAAAAAGAATAGTGGAAGGAAAAAGCGTGTGTATATAACGTACATGATGAACAGGGCAACGAGGCACACGCCAGAAGTAAACCAACTGAGGCTTCCTTAAAACCTTAGCATTGTCACAGTCTATCTGCATCTTCTTTGTAAATGTAATTACTACAATAAATTATTATTATTATTATTTTTTTTTAGCCAATATTCTATTTTATTATGGATGCACCTATATAGGTTAAGTTTGGCAACAAGCAAATACTGGCAACAGAATCTCCCTAGTGAAACTAAATTTACCATGTTACAACTTTGATCTGCTTTTTGTTAACCGTTGTTGGGTCTTTTATCTTAAAGAAAAAAAAAAGTTGCTTCAAAGCCTTTGCAGAGCACAGATATCTCTGGTTGGTAAATGTAAAAAAGAAAGCATAAGAAGTCATATTTAAAAAAAAGATAATATTTTAAAAAAGAAAGATCAAGAGATGAAGGTTTTAAGGGTCTTTACAACAATAAATCCCTACAAGGGCAAGTGGTCATTCCAGTTTTGATAACAGTAGAGATATAGACCATGAAAGTCCATTTTCTCACAACCAAGACATTGGTGGAAGAAATATAGCATGCCAGTCTGACTAAGTTCACAATTCACCTGCCAAATATTTTCATACTCTGGATGGTCAGACAAAGGTGAAAGGAAACATCGTATTTCTGTTCCTTCTTTGAGTCGACTTTAAGTTGCTGCATCTTGTCTGGCTTATATTAGGGTGGGTATGACAGTGTCAGCAAAATGCTTTGCAGACATTTTCACTTTAGCAACATAAATCTTTTTTGTTTAGTTTTCATCTTACAGTCCCTCTGCGTGGAGTTGTGACGGTACATGTTATGTTCCTATGTGTGGCGAAGTTTCTAAATAAACATAAATAACATAGCTGATGTTACACCTCTATTTTTGCAATGTGTGTTTTTAAATAAATAGTGTAAAATGCAGAGATGCAGTGTAAGGGCTTAGCAAGTAACTTTTTGTCATACTACTGTCTTATGTTTCTGCTCTTGTCGTACTTAACGTTCAATGCTCCACAGACTAACCTTGATTAAATGAAATAAGATGACAAAACAGATGAGACTATCATCCTGTTGAAATCGACTCCAAGCATTCAACATCCTGGTTTGAGTTGTCAAGATAGTGGTGTTATGATTATGTACAGTTTACCAATTTTCTATATTAAAATTATTCCAAAACTGGTAGCATGACTGTAGACTACATAATTGTTTTAAATAAAACATGAATTTTAAAAGTAGTTATTTTTACAAAACCCTAAAGTTGTTGGTTTCTAAAAAGAACACCAGTGTCGGACTGGAATAATTAAATCTGACACAGGTTATGTCAAAGAAATATTGTAATATTGTAATATCTAAGATCAGTCTAGTATTGTAATATTTTTGGGAATAAAACCCGAATCAATACAGTTAATCAATAACTTTTTTTATTTTTTTAAATAAGATTTTGTCTATATAGTCATGTGGAAAATAGTAGTGGTATGTGGAAAAATAACATTTGGAGATTTTTTAAGACTATTTTCTAAAGTGCTAATAAGACATTAGTTGAGTAAAAAATTTAGCATTTCAGGATTTTTTTTCTCAAATTCTCATTGATATTCTCCCTTCAAATTCTTCTGTATGTCTTTGTACAAAGTTATTCTCTCCCACTTCTACCACAAACCTTTTTTTTTTCTTTCTTCTGCAAAAGTGCTGGTGTATTATTTTCGCCCTGAGGCCAGCAGAAGCAATGATAATTTTATGCTGCACACTTGTCCCACCTCTGGGATTTCCAGGATTATATGAGGGATGCTCTACTGATCTGATAGAGCTTTGAAAAGAGAATAGCGTGGTCTTGACATGTTTCTATATCCAATTTGTTGCATACCATTCATGAACAAATCTAGAAAAAACAGTCTTACCTGTTTTATCATGTGTGAATATCAATCATTGTTTCCCTAGTCAAGAAAATTAGATTTGAGGTGGATCAGAGTCGTGTCCTGGTGGAAAACCCCAATTAATTTGGAGAACTAAATAAGAGAGACTCATACTGCACATTCAGGTGCACCTTGTAATGCACTGAATGCCCCCCTTACTTTCCGTTATAGTTTTCTCACCCGCCCACCCCCATTCATGCTGCTGCTTGTCCGTGTGAGTCTTGACTCTGGAGAGCCCAGCTGTTTGCGCCCTCCCAAGAAGTGTTTCAGCATTTTATGACGGCTATTTGCACCTAGTGGAAGACAGTGTGTAATCTGATGACTCTGGCAATGTAGAACTGCGACCAATGTGACCAAGTCTCCTGAGATAGACAAAAAGACTGCAAAAAGTCACGTTTTGCAGACATTTTGTGCAAACTATTAAATCATTGAGAAAGTTGTGCTGTCTCCCAGCTTTTGAGGAAAGACAATTAAAACATATGCATAAGGGGATGATTATTTATTTTTTTAATACAGGGCTTAAGTCCAAGATTGTCTCCAGCTCTGATTCGCTCTCTCTATGTGTTCAACAGTAACTTTATGGTTACTTTTGCAGCTGACAAAGAAACACCTGAAAACAGGAACTGCTTTCCATGAGTCTGTTCTGAGGCCATAAAAAAATTAAAAAGTATGCACTTATATTTACACTTGCAAACATTCATCTAACTGTAACAATGTTATTGCCTTTTTTTGCATATACGCATAAATGTTATACTGTATTCAGATCTTCATACTTGCACATACTGCACATTCTCCAAACACTCTTTTTGTCAGACAGCTTTTACTATGTGTTTCAGGCCATTTTTCTGTCTGTAATGACAAAAGACCTCACACTCCACTCACCAAAAGGAAAAGGAAAAAAAGGGACTGCAGTCAATTAAATGCGTTTCAAAGAAATGACAGAATTTGCCAAATGCGTTAAGTCTAATGCTCCAAAGCCAGCTGAGTGTCAGCACAGATATGCTGCATCTATGGAGAGATTGAAAGAGACAATCATGAAAGAGGAGAGAAAAGTGCATCCAAGTCCCTGAGTCTGCAGTAGTCATTAGAGGATCGTTTTTTTTTTGTTTTTTTTTTTTCAGAAAAAGACAAATTTGCCAATAGATTAAGAGTTTGAATTTAACCTTTAAAATTAATATCTAAAATTAAAACATTTCCTCTTTACCTAATCCTAAAAAAGGAAACTTGTAATCACTGATGTACGAAATGGGGCATTAAAATTTTTGCTATCTTGATAAAAAAAAAACATGAGCTAATAGTCAAACAGTTGCTTTTTTATTGCCACACACCAATGTTGCAAATCACTTGTGCCACCACATCCTCATTGTTCTCAGTTGGATTGAGATGTGGTGCGTGTGGAGGCCAGTTAAGGACCATGATCTCATGTTTATGTTCAAGAAACATGAAAATTAGGAGACTTGAGCTTTGCGATGTAGCACTTTATACTGCCGGAAGTAGCCATTAGAAGACTGGTACATTGTGGTCATAAAGGAATAAACATTTCCAGAAGACATGCTCAGTTAGGCTATGATGTTTAGACAATGCTTAGTTAATAGTAAGAGGCCTACAGCCAAATATATCCACCACAGCATTGCACCACCACAAGAGTGAGCCATGAATGTAAGGCATGCTTTTATGTTTTACAACAAAAATCTACCATTGAAATGTCACATCGGATATTAAAATTCTTCACACCAGGGAAAATTCTTTCGATCTGTTAGTGGCCAATTTTAGTGAGCCAGTGGGAATTATGGCTTTAATGTTCTGAGCTGACAGAGGACCTGATACGGGCTGTTGCTGTCGTAAGCCATCTGCTTAAAGGTTCAGCAGATCTGCATATCTTGGTGAGAGCAAGTGGTACTTATTTTTCTTTTCCCTTTGACATAAACACTGCATTTTCATCCACACATAACTGGACATCTTTTCTTCAGACCATTTCCTGTAAATCATAGAAGTAGCTTGTCTTTTGTAATACTCAGACAAGCATGTCTGACTCCAACAACCAAAGTTATCTTATAAATAACTCTGCAAGATTTGCAAAGTTATTTGAAAAATGTATTCTGAAACTTAATTTAAAACATTTAACACAGTCAAGGCAGTAAACGTGTCTAACCTGAGTTGTAAGCAAGAATGTAAGTTGTGAATGAGTGAATGTTTCTCTCACTACGCAAGTCTTGCTGATAACTAGCAACTGACCTAAAACAAGAAAACAGATGTTAGGGGTGAAGAGCCTAGGCTAATAATTGAGCTGCGCAGAAGTTTAATGGGTTCAGGTTTGGAGTGACCAAAGGTCACATTCTGTCTAATTGCTGACCAAGACAAGTTGAGGAGCTCAACCGACAGCAGAAGCGAGGTAACATGCTGTAGCTATTAAGTGAGTTCAGCCCTTAGGCTATGTTCGTTAGAAGAAAAAAATCTACCTCCCAAGTGTGCAGGATAATTTCCCCCCTTGTTATCATTTTTAACTATTTTGTGATAATAAAAAAGCACCAAAGCCTGACATATTTATTCACTGCTGATGGATTCTTTGAAAAGTCACAGTCTGCCCAAGAGTAATGGAGTAAGTCGAGTCAACTTTTTGTTTTGTCTCTAGTCTGGTTTGATCCGAACGCAGGATGCAGACTACTTTCTGAGACCAGTATCACGTAGCCTGGCAGAGAAGGAGAACTTCACCGCTCCCGTCAGTCACCAGCCACACATCCTCTACAGGAGCGATGGAAACTCCTGGTCAAAGCAGAGTTATCACAAGCTGCAGAAGAGATCCACTGATGCATCTCATCACAAAGCACACAGAAGCTTCCTCTCCTCAACAGAACCCACCTACATGGCATACAAAGGAGATCAATACAGACCACCTGTAAAGCAAAAAAGTTACATCCACGTAAACCCGCGTGGGAAAATTAACAGCACGAGTCCTGGAGACCGACTGAAGCATCGAGAAAGCAGCCATCACCACAGAGATTACAGACACGGGGAGAGGCAGAGGCAACACTTCTGTGGCAGAAGGAAGAAATGTATGTAAGGGCAATTTCTCATTCATTTTCCAAACCAGCAACATTCATCTTCCTCATTGTGCTTACAAATATTTAGAATTTCTGCAATTGCTTTGAGCCCACACATCAAACAAAAGACTTAGAATGAAGACTTGCAGAAAAACCACATTAACATTTCTTTTTTTTTTCACTTATGATGTAAGTAAATTTATTACCAGGTCAAAATATGCAACTTTTTTCCCCACATTTAAGTTGTTTGTATTTCTATACTGGTCATTTCCATCCACAAATTTAAAAACATAGCAATGGTAGACTGTAACATTCAATATTATCATGACAGTGAACGTTTCAAAATATAAGGTTCTGCACTGGAAGTGCTTTGCTTTTATTATTTATAGATTTGATTTAAGTGTTTATACATTTCATGGTAATTGTAATTTTTACCTGAACATGACGCTTATTTGAGGTGTGAAAGACTTACTAGACAAATTACTTAACATTATCCAACTTATCTGATCAGTTGTGACAAAATGAAAAATTGGAATTAGTTACTTGATGTAATTACTCATTTTTCGTCTTGTAATTATTTTTCACAGATATGCCTAAACCTCCAGAGGAGGACGTTTTTATCCTTCCAGAGGAGTATAAGATTGTCCCCAGGAACAAGCGGGCAGTGCTGATGAAGGATCAACCCAATCAGAAGCTCAATGTGGAGATGCTGGTTGTAGTTGACAAAAAGATGATGGACAACCACGGCCATTCGAACATCACTACATATGTTCTTACTGTGCTCAACATGGTGAGATAAATTTCTATGCTGCTACTAACAGGCTATGGGCCATGGATGTTTGAATTAGTTAACACCAGACTGTCATGGGAAAGTCCAAAAAAAAAAAAAATGCAAGCTATGATAGTTCTTTGGGCAATGAGTGCCACTGTTTTTATTCTGCAACAAGCTAAAAAGCTTTATTCTGGTAGCTTAAAACTGAAATTGATGCATTAAATCAATATGAAGCAACATAATCATAGCACTGTAATATGGGAAACATTTAACCTTCAAATAGTGGTCCAGTCCATCATACATTTTTTAAAACATAGTCATGGTAGCCTATCATATTCCAAATGATCAAGACAGTAGACTAGTTATAAAATACAAGGTTGTGAGCTGGCAGTGGTTTGTTTTCTTTTTTGGGTATATTTAATCAAGAGTCCTTTCATGTGTTGTCAATCCACAGATTGTAACTTTAGCTGAACATGCAGTTGATTTGAGGTGTGAAGGCTCAGGGTTTAGTAACTGGATATCCATGTCTTTTATAAAGTCTGAAAGACACAGGCAGCTATCAGAAAGCACACATCTACAAACATGAAACTGATACGGAGTGAGGTCATTGGAACGGCTTTCAGTGTCCCTCTGCTGATCTTAGCTCATCTGCAAGCAAGGTCCGTCACGCTCATTTTGCTTCTTAATGACTGACTGACAAATCCGAAGATAATCCCTCTATTTGCAAAACATAGCTCTGTCTAGTAGACCCGCCATGGAGGAGTCACCTAAATACAGAGTGAAGATCCACAGAAAACACCCAAATCCTTAACTCTACCTGCCAGCTCTCTCGAGTGTTAAGAAGAACATTTGGTATTTCTTGAAAAGGTAATTAAATACAGTAATCACATAGGTTTCTGTTTTGCCTGAAGCAGAATGAAAAGGCAAATGTGTTTTATAATTACTAATTTAAAATAACGTATTTTATGATGTGTACCTGAAAACACAGATGCTCCATGGAAACTGTTTCCTTAGCTGAACAGGTGGCTGCCAAAACATGCTGAGTCACTGGGACTCTTTTGATCACAGTAGGATGTGCAAATCTGTCAAACACCGCTGCTCTGCCATAATGTGTCGCTGAAAAGCAAGTTATAGATAAAAGAAAGAACAAACAAGGTGTGTCAATAAATGTTGTCTTCTTTGTGTGCTCTTCCTTGTAGGTTTCCAGTCTATTCAAAGATGGCACTATAGGAGGCAATATAAACATAGTCATAGTGGGTCTCGTTCTCTTGGATGAAGAGCAGGTGAGGATATACATGCCAGGTAAAATGACCGCACATCATCAAAACTGAGCCATGTAAAAGTAGCATGGAGCCATGGAAAGAAAAAGACTGCATGTGTCAGGTCTCTCATTCTTAAAGGGTAAATATTAGCATTATTTTCGTTGGATTGCTGTAAGTTTTATGAGGGAAAAATGAGGGCAGGAGTAGAAATAAAGCATAGAAACGCATGCTTCAGTCGGAGAATAGACTTTTACGTCCCACGAACAGTAAAGTACATCAAATAGATTTTCATCTTTCCTTGAAAATAGAAGGATGAAACTTTAAAATCCATCCAAAGATCATTTTGATGAATTTAGGAAGTGTTGCAATAACAGATGGTTCACAATTCTTTATCTTTGTGAAGACTATGCAGTCTTATGCTCTACTTTTTTATCTACTGTCTCTTTCAGGATGGCTTGGTAATCAATCACCATGCTGACCACACTTTAAACAGCTTTTGCCACTGGCAGTCAACTCTTGGGGGCAGAGAAGGCCGACACCATGATCATGCCATCCTGCTTACAGGACTCGACATCTGCTCTTGGAAGAATGAACCCTGCGACACCCTTGGTATGACTTCATTGGCCTGATTGCAGCTGGAGTGTTCAAAATTTGAAAAACAGCAAGCACTTACTTTGAAATTTTGATGAGTAGTGATTGTAATGATTGTAGTGTGGCGATGAACTCTTGAGGACGTAATATGCACTCTAACACCAACATCGGTACTTCAACTCACAAGTTTTTCTCAAGTCAAAGAAACACTCTGACAGCTTTTTTTAGGAACATGTGCTGTCCACATTGAGAGATCTGGCAGCCAGGCAATGTGCTGCACAGAGGCCATTGTACAACAAGGCAAAGGTACAATGCCTTGCAAAAGTAGTCATACTCCTCTAGATTTTTGGCACTTTGAACATGCTAAAATCACAAACATCATTGAGTTTTACTTGGATTTTATGTGACAGATCAACAGAAAGTGATATAACTGTGAGAACTGAATGGAAAACAACATCACAAAGACTAAAACAAAGCAAAGAGATTTGAGTTTAAGTAGCACAGCAGTTTAAAACAGGGTTAGGTTATGAATCAAGAGCTCAGGCCTTAAATCACTGGTCAATCTATAAGCTGAAAATCAAAGGGGACGGGCCAACTGGAATGCTAATTTGAGAGGCCAGATAAGGAAAGCAATAAGCAGAAAAGGAGCTTAGGTGGCAATGATAACACTCGAGGAGATGCGAAGATCCGAAATTCCGCCAGGTAGGACAATTATTCATCATGTACAAATCTAGTCTCCGTAAAAAAGTGACAGGTTGAAACCCAATATTTGTACAAAGCCAGAAGAAGTTACATTTGACCTAAATCAAAAATCATTTTAATGTAATAAAATACTTAGCGTTTCAGATTTTAATGAGAAGCAAAAGTTTAAAAAAAAATCAGTACAGTCTAGCTGACTGTACTTTTAAAATAATCACAAACATACACAGCATAATACGATGTCACACCAGCCTACTATTACAAATCTGCTCTGCTGTGTTCTGCCAGGATGCTCCTGTTACCTCTCAATCTGTGACTTGGCATGGCACTTTCCAAACCAGATGGTAACAATTTTTCAGGCTTGGAGGGAATAAAAGTGAGGTTTTCCACTAGACATAATGAAAGATATTTTGCTAATCACAACCTTCAAATTTGCTTGGGACTGTCTGTTTAGATGCACCTTTCGCATTAAAGTTCCACAATAGCCAAAAAAAAAAAGAAAACAGAAAATTGAGGACAGAATTAGTCTTGAAATCAGTGAGCAGATCAACATTGTTGTCAGATCAGATGGAAACTGGAGGATGTCTGTTCTGTACCCTGAGACTGAACAGCTGATGCTGGCATCTTTGCAATGATTCAAGCTTGTTCTGCAATGACATCTTACCCCGTGCATTTGGTAGTGATTACATGTTTATTACAGGCCCCAGAGGTAACATTGTTGGATCAAGTTGCAACCTTGCAGCTGATCGAGAGATATAATAGATATAGAAATGAATGGATGATATGAACGGGGGAACTGTTGGTCTTCCTTGCTGCCAAAACAAATGAAAATGTAATCTCAGTGTTGAAATCCTTTTTGCAAAACCTCAAGACAGGACTAAAGATCATCTTTGCAGTCTTGGACCAAAGCAGTGAGCATAGAAGAAGTCAACCTTTGGTACACCGCTGACTCGGGTAGTCAGAGCCCCACATCGGCTGGCTGTAGAAGTGCATTTCAGCTTTGCAGATTGAAGGAGTGCTATGGGGATTATGTAGGATTTTATGAACAACCAGCTGGAGGATTTGAAAGCGTAAACAAACCCCAGAAATCCTTTTCAATTGGAAGAGTAAGCAGAAGAGATACAATTTAAGTCTTAAGCATTTCCTCGGGCAATTAAAAGTTTGCTGGACTGAGTTTGTCCGTTATTATTATTAGTAAAGGGAGACTTCTGTTGCATATTTAAGCCTCATTCTGACCTCAGCCTCATTCTGACCTCCTCAAACTGTTTACCTTTAGCTTCAGTTTTTGCTGTGAAGGCCTTATATATGTGATTGTTTGTGTAGGTGTCTGTTTTTTATCTATCAAAAAAGTTAGTGCTGACTGATTCTCAAGGGTGCAAGATAACATGGCCCCTAATAAACATAGTCATTATAAAACAAAGTTTGTTTGTGTTGCCAATGCGTCACTTTCTCCCAGTGTTTTTGTCCATATTTCAAAAGCAATTTATAATGCATAACCTGCTGCTTTCCTGACATTGACATAGACTAAATCGTAGTTCTCACAGTCAATGTGCCTAGTTATGTGTAATATCATTGCTCACATTAAATATATACATGAGGACATTACCTTTGGGGGTTTTCACTTCGTGGCAAATGGTTGTAAGTCGTAAATAAAGTAAACCATGAGGCTATATCTCCAAGAAACACTGAGACAAAAACAGTTAGGGGGCCCCCATATGCATTATCCCGTTTGATTCACAGCCACATATATGTGTCTGCCAGGAAAACAGAGACAGAGGGAGAATAGACAGAGACGAGCACAGAGGCAGTTTAATAGAGAATGAGAGATAGAAGAAAAAGGTTGGGATTTATTTTTGGAATAATGAGTAGCATAGGGTTTTGCAAAGTGGGAGCGATTGTTGCTAAGCGATGTCCTTGTTCGATTTTCTTACACACACAGTTCATAGACGGTAGAAATTTGTGGCAGATTTCTTTTTACTATTTTGGAGTTCATCTTTCTTTGTGAATTGAGCAAAGAAACACAGTTTGTCAATGAGGGATGTTCGGATCTGGATTTTTGAAATTTGTCCGTGAAGAAACTGCAGAATCCCAGTTTCAAGAAAATAAAAATTGTATCCATGCTTTAAACATATTGGTTTTTACACTTCGTAAAATATCACATCACATTGCAGCAGCTAATGCAGTCTCTCTGTCACTGAGACATAAACACTTAAACAGATTTGTGAAACCAACAATATAGTATATATAACCTTTCATAGTTTTGTAAACCATGTATCTGTAAATAGACTGAGATCTTTTTAGAAGTTGCCTCGGGGATGTCACAAACAACATAATAGATTTTGTAAGTTGAACTTAGTCAGGAATTTCTTCGCTCAAGTGGAATCATTTTCTGATACTTAGGATGAGATGAAGACATTCCTATTGTCAAATGCTATTGTTTTTAAAGATTACATTCGATGATAATAACATAAAGCGGATTAAAAAAATAATAAGCTTTAATTCCTTTGCAGGCTTTGCTCCAATCAGTGGGATGTGCAGCAAGTACCGCAGTTGTACAGTCAATGAGGACACTGGCCTGGGTCTGGCCTTCACCATTGCACATGAATCAGGACACAAGTAAGAACGGCCATCACCTCCGCAGATGAAAATATTTCAGATACTGGAAAAATGCACTTATCAATAGCTGAAATAAAATTACCTCATCGTGTTTATTTCTATTTTGATTACAAGGAAAAGAAAAGAACTAGTGGTAATATAAATAAGTCATTTGAAAAACATTGATGAAGAATAAAACATGGAACGTATTAACAAATATTTGATGTTAATGACATTTCTCATTTAGTGTAAATCACTGTTCTTTCTCATGCATAGTAAATTCTTATTGTTCTACATAACTCTCCGATTTGCATCAAAAAACAAAAGGCTTTGTTTTTGTTTGGTCTTTGCTGTTGCAACAATGCAAATACTTCTACTGACCAACCACCGCAGCACTTTTCTGTTCCACAATGTTCTAGAGCACAGATGCTTATGTAAGGAAATATTGTGTGCACTTGTCATTTCTCCAGCTTTGGAATGGTCCATGACGGTGAGGGCAACGTTTGTAAAAAGTCAGAGGGCAACATTATGTCTCCAACATTAGCCGGTCACAATGGTATCTTCTCTTGGTCTCCTTGCAGTCGCCAGTATCTCAGTCGCTTTCTAAAGTAAGTAGCTCTACTCTTTAATGCTACTGATCTATGTTAGAAGTTCTTAACATTAAAATGTACACTGAAAGGTACATTTGTCAGAGGTTTTGTAAATTTACAAAACATAGTAGTGGAAGTGTAACAAGACTTTTTGTGTCGATGTGGCACATGCACAGCACTGCAGTGGTCAAAGGTCATATTAAACTGGGAATAAACACTCATTTGCATTATGCATCATTGATTGAGTACATTTTGTAAAGAAAAAAATATTGTCAATCCTCCAACTGGAATGCAGTGTGGCTATGTGAGGACATGCACTCATCTAATAGCTATTAGACAAACCGGATCGTTGCATCTGATCCAGCTGAAATACACAATTAAGCTGGCGTAGCAACTCCATGAACTAATGCGTTGACGGCCTTCGCTTGTGATGTTTTACAGAAATAATATTTATTATGTGTTGAGCTACGTGTGTTTTTGTGCAGTGACTGCATTTCCAGGCAAACAGGCTGCTCACCAAAGCAGGAACACAACCACCACTGACATAGCGTCCATATGTCTGGCGGTGTTTCTGCGTCTGTCAGTGTGTGCGTGAGCGCGTATGTGCGTGTTCGTGTGTGAAGTTTTGTGTGCTTGAAACTAGATAGCTCCGAGGCAGTGCCCTGCACTAAATTTACCAGTGTGTTAACTGAACTGTCAGGTCTCCCCTCTCTGAGTGGTGGAGACAGACAGTGTATTTCCTTGCTGAGTTATTAGAGCTGGGGTGACCTCAGCCTTGTTAGGCCTGTCAGCCTTATATTAAAGTCCCATCACCCATTGAAGCCATGTGGAAATGACCCCTAACATCACCAAATGCTTAGGATCTTCTTCCTGTAAAACTCCTGAATTTCTCAACATTTTTCCTTGTTGCAATCAACAGAAAGTTGTGATATACAAGTATTTTTGGAATATATGTATCTCTGAGTTTTGTAAGACTTCTTAATGGATTTTAATGGGTTTTTTTTTTTGGGGGGGGGGGGGCTTTCGCCTCCTGTGTCATCTTAAATCTAAGTTTCATTAGTCTGCTGCTATGGAGGTCTGAGCTAGTCTGAAGATTTAATTAAAGTCTGTCATGTCAAAAATTGTCTGAGGCTAATATGTAAACCTATATGTTCTTTCACACATTAATGCTGTAGAAATTTTTCTTTAACAAAGAAACAGGTGTTCAATCCAACATAGGATTCAATATAAGTAAAGGTATTTATTTGCCTTTAACATACATTCATGTACAATAAAGGTAGTACATAGGTGCCAACTGAAGAGACAGTGTTTATCAAAAGTGTTTGCTTGGTGCACTTATTTTTGATCCTCTGCTTAATAGTTTAATTTCCAAATTTTACTGCAGTTATGTATAGCTGGATGACTTTGAGTCTGTCAGTACCAGTTTCGCACATATAGAAATGTAAATTTGTTTACATTTTTACATGTAAACAAATATGTGTGTATAGTTGTTTACAAATATACAAATATATATTAACACTTACAAAATGTAAGTGTTAAGAAGGAACATTTTTTAAAATCTCATTGATTTTCAATTAGATTCAGGTCTGGATTGTGATTGGGTCATTCAAATCACAGAAATACACTTTGAACAAAATCATTGTATTGATTACAGCTTCAAGGTGACGCTACTAAATAACTAATCAGTTACTGACTCAGCTAAGCAATTGATGTTCATTCTGCACCAATGTCCACCGGTGGTCCTTGTGGTGGTTCTGTGGTTGGAAGTTGTTGAGACCTTTCAGGCTCTTAAAATTTGCCATTTAACAAGACATTGTTGCTTCCTGCGCCGGCAAATTGTGCTGAGTGTGAAAGGCCCAGACATTTTCCTCAGGCAGAGATGAGTCAAAAGATCTGTGGAGAATGTTAAAAAAAGGATCTTTTTCAATATTCTTCTCTATGCTCCACATAATGTGTACCAGTGTTCTAAAAACTGAAACTTTGGGGCAAACATTTTATTTTGAGGATCATGTGGAGCCATCGCTGAATATGAAAATTTGACTTTTGTCATGAGGTCCTTTGAAAATAACATTTTGTGGGATATTTTGTCTGTTTAAATGAATTAATTCATTCATGTCTGTCCATTGTTATTATGGAATCAATTTTTCATGATCTCCTTTAAATGAACATCACAGAATATCAAATGTGCAGAGCAGTCATTGTTCTCTGCAGACACAGGACTCAAAGCCCTGGAATAACCTCATGTAGACACACACACGCACACACACACCCACACACACACGCACAATGATTCTGTTAAAGCAATCAGGACCACTCACTAACAATATTCCAACATATTTTTTGCCTTTTCAACCTCTTTCCACCATATTTTTGCATTAACTTTCCCTGACAGCTGTGTTTGAGCTGTAAAACATCTCTTTATAGAAACCATTGATATCAGTTAACATTGGAAACCAGTCTGGTCATGGAAGAATATGAGCAATATAAGCAAAGAGTTTATATGTCTCTCATAATTGAGTGACTGATGCATTACAAGGGTCTGTCAGGTTTGGCAGCATGTTATATTACAATGGCAGCATTCTTACAGTTGCCCCTGATGTTAGGAGGAGTTGAACAACTTGCTGCTTGATGTAGTGACTCTTCTTTAAAACCGCTTAACTGTCATGTGTCCCCATGGACCCCTTGACTGATATGAAAGCGTTTTGTGGGTTCTAGTTTGTATCTTGTCCTTCATTATTTTATTTTTTTTCTTGTCTCATCTTACTGCACTCTTATTTTCACCTCTTGGACACTTATTTTCTATGTTTCTTCTGCTCTTCCTTAACTCCTATACCCTCACTTACTTTCTCCGTGTTTTCCCATTTTCCAACTACTAGCACTGCCCAGGCTTTCTGCCTGTCGGATGAACCCAAAGCAGTCAAGGAGTACCGGTACCCAGAAAAATTGCCAGGTGAACTGTACGACGCAGACACACAGTGCAAATGGCAGTTTGGAGAGAAGGCCAAACTCTGCACTCTGGATTTCAAGAAGGTAAAAACCATTTTGTGTACACCTAATGTGCTTGACGTCATTACCTGATCTGTAATTCCTCAGTACATTTTTGGCAAAGCACCTCAGGGGCATAAAAAAAAAGGTTTTATGTAGCGTGTTTCAGGAAACACAAAGAAGTTGAGAGGGAGATGGGATGAATTAGGCAGATGGAGAAGAGGTAGAAAGGAGATGAAAGACAAGAAATAACTGGTTAGGATTACATATCCTCATGGCTGTAAACACTTATGCTTTGACTTTAATATCTCTGACACACAGGCAGTCACACGGACACACATAGACTCACAATGCAAACAGTAAGATGACCCCCTTACACTGTGGGAAAGATGACTAAATGTACTCTGGAACATTGCCAGTGTTTCGTTGCTCTCCCATTGTACCACTTCTGCTGATGTTGCTATTTAACTGACCTTGGAACATATTCAATAAATTACCATTTTTGATTTTATTATATAATTAATAAAATATAAAATAGTCAGTTGTGCTATTTTCTGCATCTGTCTAAAACCAGCTTTCTCAACAGAAAACTGAAAGCTTTCTGTTGACGATTTTAACCTTTCTCTGTTGAGGGAAATGTGTAGGTGGTCACTTGCTACTCCCTAAACCGCGGCATTATTCTTATTTAATAACTTGAGTGCTGAATAATCAAAAGTTTGCCATAAATCCCATTGTGACCTTCAGAACTAGGAAATCACCTTTATGCATTTTTTGGGGAAACCATCATGTGCTGCTTTAATAAAAATTCAGTAGGTGAGAGACGAGTTTTAACTATATAGCAGTCTTGAAGTAGTTACAAAGCTGTTTTAATGCTTTTGCAATCCATCGCACAGTGATGGAAAACATAAAATAGGGATGAGCTTTTTTTCAGGAGAGGCTGGTCTACACAAAGGACTTCAAAAGTGCATCAATGACTCATCCATGGCTCAAACAAGTACAACATCTAAAGCTCTGCAGACCTCACTTGCCTCTGTTAAAATAAGTATTCATGTTTCAGCAATGAGAAATGAGTCTGGGGAAAAAAAAGCTTTTCACAGGAGAGGTAAAAATCACTGCTGAACAAAAAGAACACGCAAGCCTATTTTGTATTTGCCAAAAACATCTTGATGATTCCCAAGACATTTTGGAATATGTTCTTTTTTAAAAAAAAACTAACTTTTTAGCAAGCATGCGTCATATTAAATCTCGCAAAAAACGTACACATTTAACAAAAAGATCATCATATTGACCATCAAAAATGATTAGTGGAATGGATTCATATAGCACTTCTGTAGTTACACAGAGCCATCAAAGCCCACAAACCTGCCCTCATCTTATACTGATAAGCAGATGGATGGGCAAATCAGGGTTAACTGGCTTTCTACAGAGGATCAATAACATATGAAAGGTGCAACTTTCCAATTGCAAAATGGCTACTCTACCCAAAGAGCCAAATGGTGGTTGCATAGTGTGGTATAAGCAATGCAAGTTCCAATTTTGCTCTTTCGACAAACAGAAAACACCAACGGTTCGCCATTGGTTTGACACCTTAAGCTCAAGCACACATGAGCTTAGCAGCATAATAATCTGATGTACACCAGGAAGTCTAACTCTGAACATACAAAACATAGTAAGGTTTTGGAGTGGCCTGAAAGCTGTATGTTGGACCCTTATAAAACTCCCACAAGCTTTTGATTGGATTTAGAGCTGTGGACGATGGAAGTCTAGCCAACATTCCTGAAATCCTTCTGAAACAATCTTTGTTTTGTGCCAGGATGCATTATCTTCCTGGGAGAAGTCACGGCCATCAGGGAATACAGAAGGCTGTAGATGGTCTTCAACCATGTTTAGGCAAGAAGTACATGTCAGAGTATTCTCCACATGGATGACAAGAATCAAGGTTTACCAGTAAACCAAATTAGCTTTTCAACTCCACAAGTCTATGTTCTTCCCATGTCACATGACTGTGTCATGTGTTCCCCAGATAACCAATGTCCACATATAATAATATACATGACAGTTTTCATCAGACTAAGCAACCTTCCATTACTCTAATAAGATGCCCATTGTTGAGTATTTTGATGATTGATGGGACTAATTTGTAATATATGCTCTTGAACATTTTATGACGCATAAGGAGACAAATAATACCTTCCATTGTGTATGTGGGTAAATATTGAAGGATTCCCCAAACAAAAAGCAAAAAACTGACTCCCTGTCATTGTTTTCTTTCTTTCTCAGGTTCTGTCAAACTTAATCTATCATCTATCCCTGTCTCTGTCTGTGTCCTCATTCAATCACTGGACCTGTCTATAAGTTTTATGGCCCGAAAAACCCTGAGCAAGCAAAACAGCTGGACTAATATGCCTTGGGATGAATTCCATGGTGGCTCTTGGCAGCAACAAGCTAAGGCCAAGGTGCTTGTCAACATCTGCAGAAAGTTGTCAAAATCTGATATAGTCATTCAGACCGTAACAAAGTGGACATGTTAAAAAGTAGCAGGCTTGATTTCTCAGGCAATATTAGCAAGGAAAAGCCACCTGCTGATCCCATCAGAATCTTTTAGGCAATGCAGAGCAAATGACATCATGAAGGTTTTGTCGAAGCGCAACTCTGTTATTTTTATGTTCCATGGAGATTTTTTTTTTTTTTTTTTTTTTTTAGATGTCCTTTTTATTTACAGAATGCAATTTTTTTTTTGGCTGGGAGGGACATTACTCATGTACTGGGTATAGGCTTGTTAAACCTTAGTCAGCAAAAAGCAGTCAGTCTCATACGCTTTTAAAATCAATTTATTTTTCCATTAAGTAATTTCTGTTACACAGTAAGGATCAGAAGATTTCTATGTATTTCTCAAGATTAGGATTAATTCAGGATCAATCCCTGAACGTTTGCACATCAAGTTAAATAGAAAGCTGCTCAGAAACTCTCCAAGACTTTCTGAGCATTAATGAGCACTAATAAGATAAAAGCATTATAAATCAGCTTAGATCTATTCACAAATCAATTTTTAATTTTAATAAACACTCATACAAACAAGAGAGTCTAAGACTCAAACCCATTCCATGAGACAGCATCACATTTCAGAGTTTAACAATATTCAAAGTTATAAATAATTTTGATTATTTTCAATGCTTTCTGAATTTGGTCAAACTACTTTGGAGCATAACTCTTCAGTGTCATAAAAAAAACACTGACATTTTAGAGTTTCTGAGATAGTACTTGTGTGGAATAACAAGGTATGACTGTATCTAAGGGTATTGCAAGGACATTTTGTTCCTAGAGTTCTAGCAGAAAGAAAAATGTGTTCTTGCGGGTGAAAGGTCAGTTCTGAAGTGTTCACATGCTCTACCCTGCTGCTATTGTTGCTACAGAAGCATAAATATTTACAAGATACATGATTGCAGCAGAGCCACAGCTTGCCAAATGATAATATATTCACACAATCTCTATTTTAGTGAGCATTTATCAACATGCTATAAAAGCACCCAGGGGGGGGGAAAATAAAATCATAATAATGAATTATCGTTTCTCCAGGTGCTAGCTTTGTTTAACGCTGTTGGGTGGAGAATCCCGGACATCCCATGTCTGTTCTTTTTCTGTAATGTTGTTTCAGGATATCTGCAAGGCTCTCTGGTGCCATCGCGTTGGGAGGAAATGTGAAACCAAATTCATGCCAGCTGCTGAAGGCTCTGCCTGTGGCCCCAATATGGTGACTGAAAATGCTTAGTCTGTTTGCATGAGCGTAAGGCTGAACTCAGTCGTACTTTTAAAGGTCTTTTCACTTTAAAAACACATCACATGACCACAATAGAAAACAGTTTTGATTCATTCATCTTGAAAAGACACAGAGCACAGCTGTCAAGTTTTTGGAAAGAAATACCAAAATAAAATTGAAAAAAAAAAAGCATTTTTCTATGCGTTGACCCAAAACGAACTTGCATTTGACATATGCTTGGGAAAATTAGATTTTTATCATATCAGGTCAGCTTTTTTCTTTTTCATTTACTTTTTTTGTTGGGGTCAATCCGATGCTCCATGGCAACATCTTACCAAATAAATCGGCAAACAAAAGGCACCAAACAAGGGCCTCCAAGACACATCTTGTGGTTTTTGTAAAAAAAAAAAAAAAGAAAAGAAAATTATACAACAGCAAAACACCAATCAAACGAGAACATAAAAAGTGACGGTTTTAAAGTTCTCCACTTAGAAATAATAGACTGAGCTGATTCAGGAGTAAATTTTCCTTTTGTGACAAGACTTTTTTTTTTTCTTTTGTTAGTGCGCTGGTTAACATTATGAACTGTGCTGCGTTCAGTCGGGGGTAAAGCTTGTAAAAAGTGATGTCTCATACAGAGACAAACACATTCCTTCTCCAAAGGATACCACAGACCCCTGAGTCAGTAAATTGGAGGAGACAAAAAGCAACAATAATTTATGTTGTGGACAGCCTGCAACTATACTATAATAAAAGCCTAAATTTATTGAGTGTTTTACTGTTATATGGTGCTAATACCTCCACGGAGTCTTTCCATTTAAAGACAAAAGCCCTGAACTTAGTGACACCGCACTTATATTCTAGGGTGAACTTTTTTAATTTACTTTGACGGTGACAGAAGATTAAATCATTGCTTCGAACAGAAAAACCACACATACTTTTCTTTATCCAAAGGAGCAGCTGGTTTGTAGCTGCTGCTGGAGACATATGCCACTGGGTTCCTTATATGTGCCTTAATTGTGCCTCTTTCTTTCATGACTAAGTGAAGCCCAAGAGTCCCTGTCCTGACAGCCCATCATCTGTGTTTGCTCATAGTTTTAGACTTGAAATTTTAATCCTGCTCTTTCCCCTCACAATGCAATTACGTGAACACAAACAATGACAGTCTTGCATAGGAATCCATGGCACTTAGCTGTAGGGAAAAACCTGTGAGGGGAAATCAGCTGTTCTAGTGATTAGTGAAACCATGAGAATATTTTCAGAGGCTTGTCTGCGGGTTTTTTGCATGCGTGTTCATATTTCAGGACATATAAAGAGAAGCTCTGCAAGTTTTATAACCTAACTATTTGGTAATTAGTTGCATATTGTACAACAAATTTATAGCTGCATTACACAGCCTTCCAAGTTGGCTGTTCCATGACCATAAGAAACTTTGCGATTCCCTAACCTCTGTTTTTTGTTTTTATGTGTCCATCATCTTCAGTGGTGTCGTAGAGGTCACTGTGTAAAGCAGGGCGATGAAGGCCCCCGACCTCAGCATGGGCATTGGTCAGAGTGGTCATCATGGTCTACATGCTCTCGAAGCTGCGAAAGTGGTGTGACCTATCGAGAGAGGCAGTGTAACAACCCCAGGTGAAGCAAATCCCAGGTTTTGGTCTCTAATTAAGACAGCACTGTGTTCTCTCTACCTCTGTCACACTTTTGTGTGCAAATTGAATTTCTGAGGCTTATGAGAATATGTGTGACTTTAAAAAGACAAAAATGTTTGACCATTGAATTTATCTGAGTTATCTGCTTCAGCTATCTCAAATGTTCTGGAGGTTTTCTGATGTCTTCTCATATTTTCTTTTGTTTTGACATCATGTGTAGTCTTTGTCAGTCATAAAATGAGAAAATTATTTGGAATTAGAAAATGAAATGTGAATTTGCCTGGGGAGAAAACTGGAAGCCAAAGGTGTCATATCTAATAGAAATCTAATGCTGCAGTGAAAAGGAAATGGCATAGTAATAACTCCAAAAGAAATGCAACGCAACATTAATTCTTTACAGATGCACTGTCTGCATCAATTAAGAGTCATTCAACTCAAAACGTTCAACTCAAAAGGTTTCAACTCAAAAGGTTTCAAATCGCTGAAAAATCTTTCAACGTGGCCCTTTCTTTTAAGTAAATTAATTAAAACTTATTTGGCCACTTGGGGCACTAATAGAGGGTGTATAGATGACTGAAGTTGCTATCTTGACAAACAATGTGACAAACTAAGCTAATCTCACCTCATCATATTACAGAGAAGTAAAATTGATTGAACAGCGTTATCAAAGGAATAAAAGAACATCATCTCAAAATTAACCTTATCTGTGACATTCCTGACTTATAAGGCTTAGCAGTGTTTTGGTTTCCTGCATATCGATGGCTTAATATCCATAGTTTAGGACCAAGAACATATTGGTATATGTTATTAAAATAGTAAAGCTCATTCACAAGTGTTTCATTGCTTATTGGTTCAGCCATTCCCTTACTTATCCATCAACTACATAATTAATTTCTCTGGCAGTCATTCAGTGAGCCCACTCACAAATGTCCCGACCCAGTCTTTATCAGACCTAAATCCTGACAAGCAGTAAGCTAATTTGGCCTGAGAATGATGGAAAGAAAGACACTGAAAGGACAGAAAGCTGATGAAAGATGCACAAAGACAGGCCTCAAGAATAAGCCAGACAGGCATCAAAAAGTACGTCTACAGAGAGGGGATTTAGAAAATGAAGGAATTAATGTTAAGATATGAAATGATAGAGTTTGCGATTGAGTTATAGATAAGCACAAATGTGAATTGAAAGACGCATAGAGAGTGTAATTGTGCCTTGGAAGGGATTTTTGGAAATGCAGCCTCAGGATATACACCTGTGATATAAGCCTCAACAAAGGCAGTCTCACAGACATTCATGCGCAAATTGAAAATATACTCTCATGTACTAGTCACTACAGGACAATGAAATCCAATGTGGTTTGTGTAATTCCTAAGTTTAGATTTTTGCTAACTATGTACGTCAGACGCATCTTAAGGATTTTCCTCTTCAGGACTATGCCAAACGTGTGATCAGAAATAATGTACAAGGGATGGAAACCTTGGCTGCATACCATGTGTTTTCACTTGTCTTTACAGACCTACCAATGGTGGGAAGTTTTGTGATGGCTCCACTCGGTCATACAAACTTTGCAACACTGTGGATTGTCCAACAAACACTGCTGATTACAGAGCAAAACAGTGTGCTGAATTTAACAGCAAGCAGTTCAGAGGATGGTACTACACCTGGAGACCGTACACTAAAGTGGATGGTGAGACTCTTGCTTTCCCCATTTTTGTTGAAGTAATATAACTTAAGGAAATATTAGATATACCAACAAAAACACTATGTGTATTTTGTCATCTTATGGTAAATCTATCTGTTTTCTTCTAGATCAAGACATTTGCAAGCTTTACTGCCTTGCTGAGGGTTACGATTTCTTCTTTGCCCTGGCCAGCAAAGTTAGGGATGGGACACTTTGTGCAAAGGATAGTTCCAATGTCTGTATTGATGGGTTGTGTGAGGTAATGCTGTTTTAATGTTAAAGCAGAAATTCAATTTTCAGTTCTTACAGTTGGTTCAGTATTTCTCACTGAAAGCGTGAGCTCAACAGTGAGGTCTTTTAGATTGAGCTGTAAATTTTACGAAAGGATTAAGGAGTAGGCGGTGTCCCTGTCTCGCAGCTACTTTCATGTTCATGTACATGAAATGTTGACTTGTCACCAGTTCCAGAATACGTTTTGTCATTTTAGACAATTTCCATCTGTCATGTAACATGACAGTTTATGTACTTATTCTCCCTAGCCTTAAAGAAATATGTATGCATGTCTTTTTTTTCCACAGAGAGTGGGGTGTGACCGTGTCTTGGGCTCAGCAGCTGTGGCTGATGCTTGTGGTGTGTGTAAAGGAGACAACTCCACCTGCAAGATCTATAACGGGCAGTACACAAAGCAGCATTATACTAACCGTAGGTCGACCCAATAAACTGTTCCAGTGACTGCATTTGATGTTTTTATTTTGAAAAAAGTTTATGTTACCCTCTTAATTTTCCACTGTGTTAGTGCAGCAGCTTTTATTTTTTTAAGTAAGAAATATATTTTTTTCAGAACTCTTTTTTTTCTTTTTATGTCGGACCCCGCTGGGCATTTTTGCACTGCTAAACTACACATAATAATAGGATTTCAAGGAATTGCGTCATGTTAAAAACAAGCATCAGTTTTGACTGGAATACGCTTCCCATTACAAGGATTATAAAAATTTAGGCTCAGAGTTGGTTGTAAACTAATTTGGCACCAATGTTTAACAAATATATGCCAACAGAAAATACTTTGCTTGCGGAAATCAATAGCAGATGCTAGCTTAAAACTTCACACACTTCCCATGTGTTTTACAAACATTATTGGACAACTGGTTGACTGGAAATCCATCAGTCAATCGATTTCATTTGGCAGCTCATGGAATGAGCAATTATATAAACTGTTTTTGAGTTGTGGATTTGTGCATTACTCTTCTTAAGTTAGAGTCGTAATTTGTTTTCAGCTTATCTGCTTAGAGATTGCATTTTGTTTTGTAGAGTACTACGGGGTTGTCACCATCCCAGCAGGAGCTCGGAGTATCCGTGTCATGGAAATGAATACTTCCAGCTCCTACCTAGCGGTCAGAGACACCCAGAGACACTACTATCTCAATGGTCGCTGGACAGTGGACTGGCCAGGTCGCCACCCTATTGCTGGTACAACGTTTGAGTACAAGAGACCATATAACAGACCAGAGAGTCTCATATCAGCAGGACCTACAAATGAGACACTGGTGGTTGAAGTAAGCAGATAAGCGAACAAAGACATTTTGTTTTGATAACGGATATTCATCCTGATTGTCAATAAATGATTCCTCTTTTAGGTATTGCTGCAGGGTTGGAATCCCGGAATACGTTGGGAATATTCTCTGAACAAAATGGATGAAAAAGCGGCTAAGAACCACATTAAACACAGCTATACCTGGGCTATCGTACGCTCCCACTGCTCAGCAACTTGTGCTGGAGGTATGTTTAACTTTTTGAATGCTGAGTTTGATAAAGTTCAGATTTCAAAGGCACTTTAATTCTTATTTAAATATTTGCTTGATCAAAGTAAATAAATACATGAGAACAGTTTGAGGACGAACAGATGAGCTTATGAAAAGTCTGGCCTGGCCAACCTGTAATAAGGCCTTTAGCTGCAGGTTAAATGGAGAGGGGAGTATCCCCATCATTATTGATGAGACATTAGAGGCAGGGAGCTCCTCAACTAGAGACCCTCTATTAGACACACTCTCAAAGCTTGTATCTCTAGAGTTAGTCCCATCAAGGCCTGATATTGTACACAAAAATCCATACACATACATGCACATATGCTCATGAATACAAGTAGATGTTGTTGCCTAGGCAAATAATATGTGAGCAAAGGTTAAGGGACATGAGCGTTTTTGCGTGGTCATGCGTGTTTGCTCAAATACACTTGTCTTTTTGAGTTCCTTAAACACATGCATAATATATATGTGCACGTGCACTTACTTGGCTCAATAAGTGTGAACAAAGCCCCCAGTGTAGCATTCCTACTGGCTGACCCTGAAGGTTAGAGTTCCCATTCTTGTCTGTTGCAGTCCACTCCTAACCATCTCCACCTCTTTATGTCCTGATTGGAGGCTGTGATGGTTTGGGTGGATGGCGGGCTGCTTTATTAAAGGGTGTGACTGACTAACTGGTCTTTTTGAGTAAATATGTGCAGAGTGACCTTGCCTTAGGGTGAATAACATCTCAACACTGGAGTACATGCACATTTAACACAAGAATTTTACCTTCACCAAAAATTACTAAAGAAAAATGTTGTGTAGTTTAACTTCAATAAAGAAGAGTCATATTTACAATGGAAAAAAAATTGATCAACATCTAATAAAATAATTTCTTTTATGGCAGACGGGCAAAGCGAGATATTGTTAATGAGCGCCTACATTCTTTTCTCCTATCTCAATGGTGTTGGCTTGTCAGACAGAAACTTTTTTTTCTCAGTATTACAGTCACGTGACCTGTTCACATGACTGCATACATTTGTGCAGCTTTTATTATAATTAAATATTTGATGAACGTACATTACTGGCCAAGCTTCAGCAATGTACTGTAAGGTTTTACGTTACAGTTTTGCTTCAATGTTAGTTGATTCTATCTGTGAAAAACATTCATTTTGTTTTTCAAGAAATGTGTACTTAATGGTCTGTGCCTCCAAACAGGACATATGAACACCAAGGCAGCATGCTACAAAGACTTGAGAGTTCAGGTTAATGTGACGTACTGCAATCCCAGAACTAGACCAGGAATTGGAACGATACCCTGCAATACCCACCCATGTCCTGCCAGGTCAGTGTTGTGTTCAGTGCTTGTGTGGTATACAATTCATGTTGTGTTAATACAGTTGTTTCATAAAATGTGATTGTTTTGTTCAAGAATTTTGTGCCTTGTAAGAATTTAAGATCAAGGGTTTGCCAAGTCCCAATATCACAGTGAAGTAAAATAACACTGCATCACATCAGTATTACGTGGTCTACATAAAGATCGAGAAGAAAACAGATAGATTAACCAAAGGATGACAAAAATACACATAGTATTTTTGCGTTCCACTTAACTCATTTATCAACGATCATATGGGATCATATAAGCTTAATGATGTGTATGAAGATTTGTTTTTGAAATAAATGCCAATAAAACTATTACCATTTTTCATCTTAATCCTATGTTTCCCCACCTGCACGGTCAGTGGAATATATTTAACGTGTAGAAGAAGTAAACTGGTAGAAAATGCCAATGCATCAAGTAAAGCCTTCAGGCACAGTCAGACCAGACATCATTGTTCAAAGCAGAACCTTTGCACTGGTAGAACAAAAGGCTAGTGGTGAAGTGGAAAAATAGGCACTGGATGTCATGACTGCAAGCTCACCTGACAGAAGGTTGGAAACCTGAGCTATAGGGCACCTGGCAGGTTCAGAAAGGGCAGATGGATGGATGTTCTACAGGGTAGAGATCAACAACAAGTAGAGCACGAGAGATGCTAGAAGACTCCAAATCTTGGTAAAGAAAGTACGGATCACTCTTAATGCAGTGGTCCCCAACCTTTTTATTACCACGGACCTGTCAAGACTTTGCAATTTTGTTTATTATATGTGGTTATGTTTATTTAGTTAAAAATGTTAACTATGAAAAAACATAACTCACTTCCAAATCATAGTGCAGCAAATAAAGCTGCTCTCACCATCTTTTATCAAACATCTTTTTTTTTTGTTTCGTCTTTTATCACTTAAAATGAGTCCACAAACTTTCACTGCTGCTTCTACACCGTCGTCTGTGTTTAATTATTCTAAATTCACGTATGGTATGTTGGGGGTTTTACTGCCTCACATCAGTATTATGGATACTTGGATTTTCTTCTGGAATCGAGATGTTCATGAGTGGAATTGGTTTGTGTGTGGTGTGTTGCTCCTGCCATGTGGCTGGACACACGAACCGATCGAACCTGATGGACTTTTATTGGCTCGTTTGTGGTCACAGAGGTTTGGAGAATCAGCCGACAATCCTTAATTCGTGCCGTGTGAACCAGACCTAAAGCTCACATGCTCTACTCCTCTCATCTCGTCTTGACCACTGGCCTAATGCTCTCTGACAATGCTCACTATGGTAATGTTTACGTACCCCTTTAAAATAAGTCACAGATGCACCACAAAAACGAACATTTTACTTTCGCGAAAATTTTAACTCATGATAATGACTAATGGGAGCCCTGAGCTAGTTTCTCTGCAACGCGATGGTCCCATCTGGGAGTGATGAGAGACAATGACACCCAAAGTGTTGCTTATATACAGGGCGCTACTTGGTCTCTACGTGGAGAAGCAATTTGAAGCTTCTTTGCCTCATTAACAAACCGGCCACCATATTATGCAGAGCAGGCTTGGAATGTGGGAATCGCCCATCGAGATAAATCCATTCTCCTTTTCCCCAGAAACTTTCCAAAGACATCTGATCTGTTTCTGACTCATTTTGGTGCTTGTGGGCTCAATGTTGGCGTGCAAGATGTAACCAAGAGGCACCAGTTAAAGGATTTTCAAAATAAAAGATCCTCCAAACTCAAATAATACATAAAACGGAAACATTTAATTATTTCTTGCGTGGTCTGTACCGGTCATGGCCCGGGGGTTGGGCACCACTGCTCTAATACACTGTTTTTTGAGATTAACATGTAGTTACTTTGACAATGCTATACAGGCATACAATAGGCATCCCATACAAATACTAAATGGGTACAGACCATGGATGGACAGACCATGGATGGATAGATGCATGAACACCTTCCAGAATGGTTGGTCACTGATCCAACTAAACTAGCCAAAGTCCCAATCAAAATCGTTCTGGAAGGTACCGAAGAACATAACGTTCAACCTCCAAACTTTTGCAATGGTGGCATTTCTGGAAAGATGACATAATTTATGTTCAAAATAATCTACTGCTAGGATCAGAGTACCAAAAACTGCAAAATTGTTCACAAGTTGTTATTGAAGCCTTGAAATGTTTTGTTGGCAAAAGGTTGAACTACTGAAGATTAATTAAAGACATGAGTCATTTTAATATTATAGCTGATAGGTGAAAATATCCAAAATACCATAACTGTCTGCTATTTATTGATGGATGAAGAGATATATCTTTAGGGATGTAATTCCTACCTCTGGTCATGAAGTCAAAACCAGGGTGCCATTCGGGTTTGTCAACTACAAATTCATTAGGTGACACAAAATTAAATAATTACGGCTAAATACCATTTCAGAGTGCACTCTGAGTCTTCCATCTCAGGGAGGGAAACAAATGAACAAGAGGCAGAAACTAACTCAATGAACACACAGGGAATACTCTAATGAAGAGTCTAATATGTGGTAACTATGTCACAAATGGGAAAATTGCATCATTGATAACAATCTGATAATTGTTCTGGGAGAAGGAAAGGTATCATAAGTGCTCAAGAAGAAAACATTCTTAGATAAAAACAGGACATAACAGATTAAAAAACCTCCAAAACATGACAACATTATGCAATCAAGATATCCTTCATCATTACACTAATTCATCTTTGCTAATCTGCAACGTACAAAGTTTCTAAACACCGTCAATTACTTAATCCTTGTAGAAAAACTGAAGTTTTAACCAATTTCTTCCATCTATCAAAACATGGCTAAAACATTATATAATTCATGTTGATATTTTTCTAATCTTCTTGAAATAACCCAATAACCCAATGACCCCTCTAGATTTTAAGATTGACCATCACATTTGCGGTTCAATTTAAAGTCTGGCAGCCATATTATTTTAGATTTTTCTCAAGTTTTGTTTATACTTGCCTTCCAAGTTAATAATGTATCTAATTAGCATGATGGCAGTCAGTTAAATATCCATTTGAAGAGTTGTCATCAGGTTTTAGGTCAACATTTTTTATGTTATCAGCATCGATTTTGCTATTTTACTGTTATTTGCATTAGACTTTTCATTATTGATTTAATCCATATTCTAATTCCTGTAAAAGTTTTTGTAATAATTGTGGTATTGATTATTGGTTTGCATGTTCCTCTTTTATTGAACACTCATCCATTAATTTGTTCCTGTTCCAATTTTAGTAGTGGATTCATCCTTTTAATTCACAGCTTTTGAGTTACTCCATTTACTTGATTGCTACAGCTATCTAACTATTCTTCAGCTGTAATTAAGTTGTCCTTGTTTTTTTTTTTTGTTTTTCCCTGACAGCAACACTTTTCTTTTTGAACCTCCCCCATTCTGTTTGACTGCGATGTATTATTTGCCTGCAACACCTTCACATCTGTAGTTTCTTGATGTGGTGTATCAAAAGACATGTTTATTGGGCAATTCCAATCTTCCCACTCTATCTCATGAAAGCAAATGAAAGCTGTCAGGCTGGTGAAGCACATGTGCTGTGAGAATGAAATTTTCTGCTCTGTATTTTAAAGCAACTAACATTCTGGTTGAAAATATGTGCATAGTCGATGTAGCAAAATAAACTTTTGTAAGATTTTCTTATCATGTGAGCATGAAATCTCACCATCCGACAGTGACGACGAGGTTCTGTAGCTTGTCAAAATCAACCTACTAAGGACTCGTATGTCTAAATTCACATTAGTTTGCAAGCTCCTTCGGAAACACTTGTTCTGTGACCTCGCTCTTCTAGAAATGTGCTCACAGCCAGTTTATCTGATGGGACATGTTGATTCACTTCTTAACGCTGGTGATCAGACATGTTGAGGTTTCTGTTGAAATGGCTGTGGGGAAGCAGGTGTTCCTCTATGTTGTAAACTGTCACTGGTATGTGTCAGTTTGAGTTTCTTTGATGAATAACAATGCCTGACAGAGCAAGAGCTCGGCGCAAGAAATACTCAGGTCTCAGGGTGGGGCTATGTCAGAGCTTGGCTAAATAAACTATTGCTTACACTCCTAATATTCAGGGACCAGACAGTTGATCAGTCAATGGGTTCTGATGTTGCAGACATCATAGGGAGTGGTTCCCCCAATGACAAACAGGACACAAGTGAAGTCATGCACACACAAGAAGAATGTTCCTGCCTTGTCTACACCACTCTGGACAGTGTCAAAAAGGAAAGCATAAAGGGCAGAAAATATGAATGAAAGAGGCACTGGGGAAAACAGTGGTCTTCAACACAGAGCAAATTTGAGATGCTTTTTTTTTTTGGTAATCATTTCTTTTTTGTTCTCAAAGCCAAAATACCTCATACAGAGCACTGAGGTTGGAAAATTGCATATATAACACTCATATCAGGTTGTTGACACCGTCCCAGTTAAATCTGTGCAGGAACCAGCTGAGATATACAATGTCATTTGTAAAGCAGCTGTTGCTCTCAGAGTTCTGCATCCCCAAGATACGACTCAGACCCGATATCATGAACCTTTTGAACTCATGTAAGAGCTTAACCAGTACAACATATGGGGAAGGTGATGGTGAACTCTCTTAGGCATATAATGTATCATTCATTAATTTTCCAAAGTATGCACACTGTATCATGGCCTGGACTGCAGGAGACTGGAACCCGTCCTTAGCTGTTGTGGGGTTTGCCATGGACCGGTCAGCGGTCCAATAAAATGTGCAACACTCTTCAACTCTATCAATCCATTTGGAATTTCTAATCAATCTAGCAAGTATGTCATGCAGTGGTGTGTTGGGGAAACTGTAGTATGTAGAGAGATGCCAATGTAAACTCCAGACAGAAAGGCCAACTGAAAGATTTGAGCCTCTTTCTAGTGAGTTTCCACATATTAACAAAAGCCATAAGCTGTGCTGATGTCAAAGACTTCTT